AATGTTTCTTGGACATCTTGTTTATTTTATCTCAGGGTCAAAACTTGACATAGTGTAAGAAAAGCTTTTGTTTAGAATAAAAATTTACAAGTTTTTTTTTCACTTTTCAGATTTTTCTGAAACTTTTTTACAAAAACCCTGAAGAACGAACCAACTTATCAAATCAAATTCTGCACATTACTAAATGCATCTCAAAAATGTATCTTGTAAATGTATCTCATAAATAGGATTCATGAATGTATCTCATAAATGTATTTATCTCATAAAATATACAAATCGCACAAAAGTCTAAAATTTTGGATTCAGTCTTGCATTTGCATCTTTCAAAATCCATGACATTGACTTCTATAGTTCACTGGATCTGACTGAGCTCTAACTTAGTAACCCGATAACTCAGTTCTTACCTTCTGGTAGATCAGTTCTCTGGGACTCACTGAGATCTGTTCCAAACCTCACACTTCCGGTTCTGTGATCCAGGCGGACCTAGAGACAGACGGATATAGTTAAGTATGATCCAGGCGGACCTAGAGACACACGGATATAGTTAAATATGATCCAGGCGGACCTAGAGACGGACCGATATAGTTAAGTGTAGTACAGACGAACCTAGAGACAGAATTATATAGCTTAATGTGATCCAGACGAACCTAGAGAGAGAAGTATATAGTTCAACGTGATACGGGCGAACCTAGAGACAGAATTATAAAGTTCAACGTGATCCAGACAGACCTAGAGACAGAAGTATGTAGTTCAACGTGATCCAGACGAACCTAGCGACATAAGTAAATAGTTCAATGTGATCCAGACGAACCTAGAGACATAAGTATATAGTTCAACGTGATCCAAACGAACCTAGAGACAGAATTATATAGTTCAACGTGATCCAGACGAACCTAGAGACAGAAGTATATAGTTCAACGTGATCCAGGCAAACCTAGAGAATGAAGTGTTCAACGTGATCCAGACGAACCTAGAGACAGAATTATTTAGTTCAATGTGATAACAGACGAGCCTAAAGAGTAGAAACAGAAGTATATAGTTCAACGTGATCCAGACGAACCTAGAAACAGAAGAATATAGTTCAATGTGATCCAGACGAACCTAGAGACAGAATTATATAGTTCAACGTGATCCAGAAGAACCTAGAGACAGAAGTATATATTTCAAAGTGATCCAGACGAACCTAGAATCAGAAGTATATAGTTCAACGTGATCCAGACGAACCTAGAGACAGAAGTATATAGTTCAACGTAATCTAAACGAACCATGAAACAGTAGAATATATTTTGAGAGAGTGTATTTCTATCTTTTTAAAGTAAATTTTGAAAGATTTGAAAATGAAAATGCGGGGGTGTTTGAGTTCTTGTCCCTATTTCTTAGCCACAACTGTCGTAGACCTTTTATATTTCAACTAAACTTTTCGAGTTTGTCCAATCCAGCGAATAAAATCAAAAACTATGTCTGATATTTTAGAAATTCGACGATTTGATTGATTCTTCCAGAAAGAATGTAAATACTTTTTAAACTTTTTGAACAAAAACTTTAAAAATTCCCCCCAATTCACATGAAAAACACTACCATAAGCTATATGATTCATGACATACAGAAGAGGGGGCCAAGGGGGTAGAGATGTCAACGATAGTGTAACGTAACGTAAAATGTACGTTTTTGTACGTTACGTTACATGGGGTAAATTACAAATTAACCCACCTGCATATCGTTGTTCCTGGCACACTCCACAATAAGGCGCTCCATGTGCTGGTGGGAGGTGAAGGAGGCGAGCTCGAGGAGCCTGGAGATGGTCAATGTCTGGTATACTTGGGCTACCTACAATTTAAAATAATTATGCAACTGTCGTTCTCAGTTTAATGCAGCACGCTTAGGATCCAGATTGTTGGATTCGCAAGAATTTGGCTTCCTGGATCCGGATCCGCAAAGATATGCGGATCCACGGATCCGGATCCAAGTGACAAAACAAAAAATATCAACAAAAACGAAAAAAACTTTTTTACTCTCCACACCCAATTCTGAACTGTTGAAAACAATAGAGATTATCAAAATTTTCTGATCTCTGAATGGTTTATCAAGTTTTAAAGAAAAAAGAAGAAAGATAATTTGACGATCTTCTGCTTTAAAAAATCAGTAAATCTTTAAGAAATGTTCATAATCTGGACTTGGATTAATTTTTCCCCCGTGCGGATCCCGGATCCGGATCCACATCAAAATTTAATAAATAAACTGGTTTAAAGGGACTGTCCCCGTATTTGTCTAGAAATGAAGGATCACAGCATTACAGTTCATTTAAAGAGGGGCTTTCATCGTCATATTTTTCCTCAAGATTTAGGAGACTGACGAAGTTTTTTCCAATAATACAGGGCATAAGTTAAAGGGATAGTCAGTATATTTGCCAAAAACTAAATAACCATCCGGGTTTTTTTCAAGAATAAAGGGACAAGCAACGTTTTTACCATGATTAAAGGGACTGTTTACATTTTGTCTTACCTGTTTAAGAAGACGGACAAGAGTCATGTCTCTCAAGGGAGGAGCATATTGAACCAAGGAAGCAAAATCTGGAGTACTCTCAAAACTCTGAAATATTTAACAATTTAAAAACAAGATCAAACCTTTGGGAATTCTTTCAAGATTTGAGATGAGGGGAGGTCGTCATCATCAATTAGATTATTCCTTATATTTATCAACAACCTCGTGTGAATCTATTGTTCCATGCCAGGTCCATATCAACACTATGATGTTTACCCAACTTTGAGAAAAGGCAAATAGGACAAATCCATTTTAAAGTCTACAAAATATCCAGAAAAAATAAGTCCCAAAACCCCAATTTTCAGGCCCCAAATGACACAATAAAAAAAATATTGAAAAACTAAAATTAAAGTGTTCAGCGGCTGGACGACGTGGCTTAACAAACCAAATCAGACTTTTTATTACTGCCGACTTCTTGGCTTGTCTTTCTGCTTTAGCGTAGAGCAATTTTTTATTTTTAGAAAAAAGTTGTCAAAATTTGATCCAATTTTAAGCAAACATCAACAGAAAATCTAAAATTTGTGGAAATGCCAATATTACTCCATTCATGATTTTGGGATATTTTTGGCAAATTTGCTTTGGCAAAGACGACTTGACTTTTCTAACAATAAAACGACTGTAGTAGAATATTTTTTTCTAGCTCCGATAACAATTAAATACCAAAAAATGAAACTTCATATTATCATTTAAATACATTGTATGGAATCTCTAAAAAAAAGTTTTGCAAAAACTGGAGGATACCCACATCGCAAAAAATCGAGACCAAAACATTTCTGAGCCTATGATGCAATAAGTAAATACAAACTTTAATATAAAATTGTATCTTTCAGCAACTAGTGTGGAAATGGAGTTAAAATTAGCTTGATATCTTAATTTTTAAAAAAGTGTGTCCAATTGGAGAATGCGAGGTCGGGCCAAAAATTGCCTTTAGACAGGAACTTTAGGTAACCAAGGTGATACGTCTCATAAATTAGCCTAAATAGCATAAAGTGCCTTTACCTTCAACTTGTCGTCAACTTTCTTGCAAAGGCTGAGTGGGTTAAAGTCTACCTCCAGCCAGTTGTACAGGTCCTAGATAAAACACAGTTTAGAATGAAAAATGTCTTGAACAAATAACATGCTATATTATAATATTTTAGGGAGAAGTGAAAATTGGACAAAACGGACAATTATTTTTCGTGTGTGTGTGGTTGTGGGGGGGGGGGGTTGTATTAAAGTAAACCTGTAGTTCAGTTGATGCTGCAGAAACTACTCCGAACCTGACACAGTCCTTCAGCAGGGAAACCCTAAACAAGAGATTTTATTTATCCATCCAGAGGTCGGAACTATTAAACAGATTTATCTATCCATCCAGAGGTCGGAACTATTAAAGAGATTTATCTATCCATCCAGAGGTCGGAACTATTAAAGAGATTTATCTATCCATCCAGAAGTCGGAACTATTAAAGAGATTCATCTATCCATCCAGAGGTCGGAATTATTAAAGATATTTATCTATCCATGCAGAGGTCGGAACTATTAAAGATATTTATCTAACCATCCAGAGGTCGGAACTATTAAAGAGATTTATCTATCCATCCAGAGGTCGGAACTATTATAATTTATCTATCCATGCAGAGGTCGGAACTATTAAAGAGATTTTATCTATCCATGTAGAGGTCGGAACTGTTAAAGAGTTTTTATCTATCCATGTAGAGGTCGGAACTATTAAAGAGTTTCTATCTATCCATGTAGAGGTCGGAACTATTAAAGAGTTTCTATCTATCCGTGCAGAGGTCGGAATTATTAAAGAGATTTATCAATCAAAGCAGAGGTCGGAACTGTTAAAAAGATTTTATCTATCCATTCAGAGGTCGGAACTATTAAAGAGATTTATCTAGCCACCCAGAGGTCGGAACTATTAAAGAGTTTCTATCTATCCATGCAGAAGTTGGAGCTAATGAAGAGCTTTTATCTATCCATGCAGAGGTCGGAACTATTAAAGAGATTTTATCCATCAAAGCAGAGGTCGGAACTATTAAAGAGATTTTATCTATCCATGCAGAGGTCGGAAATATTAAAGAGATTTTATCTATCCATGCAGAGGTCGGAAATATTAAAGAGATTTTATCTAGCCATGCAGAGGTCGGAAATTTTGAGCCTTATAGTAGACAAGCTAATCGGTATATGTCTTAGCCAATACCATTCCAACATCTTTTTTAAAAGTTAATTTTTTAAATTTTTAGAAGTTTTTATAAAAGACAATTACAAACTTGTACAATAATATTTTACTAGTTTTACAGTTTTCCAATTTTTCCCATTTTGGGATTCTTCGGCCCACCTCCCCATCCCCCTGGTCAAACCTCATTTGTTGGCCATTGAAGGATTGTTAAATTTTTTGATGGACTTGATTTATTTAATCTATTATATCTAAAAGAAGTATATTTGATCATTGTCAAAACCCTTTCTAAGCCATTGAGAGATTTTGATAACATTTTATTAAATCTACAGATTTACAAAAAGTAGATTTGATTTATTGGAAATTAACATTTGTTCTTCTTTTTTGCTAAGTCCATAAAAATGACAAATTAAACAATAAGTTTTTTTTACCTAGTGGGGGGTTGAGCCAGGGACAAGAGGACTGCTAATCTAGCCATTTTCTCCGCAGGGGATCTATCTGTCTCGATAAACCTAAAATTATTTCATGTCATCTTCATGCTTTGTTGCTTAACCCTTTTATTTACTCTTTATTTACATCTATGTTGGACACATTGCTGTCAATTGATTATAGGTTTTATGATTAAAAAATTAAAATGTTGAAAAAGGGTTAAGCATAGTACTAACAAATTCAAATAATTTGCATAGCTCCCAAAAAATTGAAAAATTGGGTCTAAAGCATCCGAATGTCTCCCACCTGTCAAACTCTGGATGCTGGCTAGGCAAGGGAACACAGAGGCAAGCTGCCAGGACCTTGCTCGCCATCCTCGCCAGCTCATCAGCTGACAGGTTCTTCTTCATCTCCCGGGTCAACTGGAAGTGCTTGAACACCTGGAGAAAAAGAAATCCATTATTTGGATTTTGTAGTAAATAAAGTTTCAATTCCAAGGTTAAACAATGTGGCTCAAATATAGTATCACCTCCAGGCTGATCGTAAATAAAAAATTTTGTCATACAGTAGTTACGTTTTCTTTTTTAAAGAAAATCCTCCATTTTGATATTTGAAGAAAGAAAAATATGCGAAATATTAATTACCGCTGCAGCATGAAACAGAAAATTCCCAGACTTCCAAAAGACCAGGGCCAGCTTCAAGTAGTAGTTTGCCATCATCTTGGGCGGGAACACCTTCTTGCTTAAGGACATAAGGTTATTGATGTCCTCAACCGCCTGAACAGTTAACATTTTAAGTACAAAATTACTAACATTCAAATTTTATCATGTTTTGCATATCTATAATCTATATAAATACTTTTCTTGTCTGTCCGTTTGTATCCAATAAATGTCAGAACAGTCAAATTGATCGAACCCAAAATTTTGAAATGGTTAGGTTATACTTTCGTAGCTGGCCTATGGACGGGTTACTGCTATACATTTACATGCCAGTTCTATATTGAATCAAGAATCTGGTAAATTATGGATCCAACGAACTAGGTAAGAAAAATCCCCCCAAAACTCAGTATGTGAACGTCAGGTAAAAGTACCTAAAATGATCATTTTAGGGAATTGGTGGTTAATTACCAAGCTTTATAATATAATAGGATGGAAACATTTGAAACATTTCAATCCGCGAACTTTCGTGTTCCTGGTTGATATGTTCAAATAAAAGATGCTCACAGACAGACCCACAATTTTAAGTAAAAAAGAAAAGACGCACATAATCCAGACTGGACAAACCCCTGTCTCGAATATATTTAGAAGACGACATTCTATAAGTCCAGTGCCAAGAGGATACATAATTGTAAATTAAGATACATTAGTACCACTTGCAATACAAATTTGTGTCATTTTATAACGTATGTTTACAAAGTTCTGTTGTTTACTTTTACCGTCAGTATAGCTGTACTATGTACATTTAACATGCAATTAGTATCTTGATATTCTTTGTGACTAATATATATAATTAACTTTTAGGGTGCTTCGCGCCCATCATCTATTTTAATTGTGAACATGTTCTCTTTGTGTACATTGTAAAACAAAACAAAAAAAGTTCGCGGATTTAAACAAAAAGTTTCGTGTTTTCTAAAGTTTTCAAAATTTTCTAAAATTTAATGAAAATCGGATTTTGATGGAGGCAAATTTTTTTAATTTTGTTCGTTCATAAACCTTCCCTTACAGGGCCATGTTTGGTCCTACACAAAAGTTGGGTCCGATCGGTTCAACCGTATTGACAGTTATTGGATACAAATAGTAAGATAAAATTATTATTTTTTATTTATTAGAATCAATAAAATCTATAATTTATGTAATGTTTCCATGATGATTGGTAAGGAAATTGTGATAATAAAAATCTTTAGTACAACTAAAAGTACTTAATGTGTATATTTGGCCTTTTTTGTTTTCATATTATCTAATATATATAGGATAGGAACTCTTTAGTTCAAAAATCTAAGGGAGTTAAGCATTTAAATTGTATAAACTATAACTAAATTTTGTTCTAAAATATTTGTTATTTATTTATATTATCTGAATCAATTATTTTTATTTTCTTAAAAGTGGCTCTTAATAAAAATGGTTTCCCCACCTCGCATAGTTTAACTGTAATGCTTACCCCACCTCGCAGGAATAATAAAGAAGATCAATTTTTAATTGTCTGATATTCTCTCGGCCTAGTGTTTGTTCTGTCTGGATTATGTGGACGGGCACGAAGCGCCCTGAATGCCAAGTATTCAATGTTTATCGGTGTGATTTTTATTTTGTACTATCTAGATTCTGGAACTATCTTTGCCACTTCTTTAATTGATAAAAAAAGATAAGGAGTCGTCAAAATATTATTTTTAAGCTTCCCTTTACAAATAATCTTATTTTACGCAGGAACCCGATTATATGAATAGCTAGCGAGTAGTTCAACTATGTAGATCTAGATGAACAACTTCTCTTTTGTATCGGTTTAAGTTAAATATGTGGTTAAATACGTCTCTTATTTATCTGCGACTAGATTTAGTGAAAAGTTAGAAGTAGCTGAATCTCGCGTAAATAATTCAACCATTATCTTGTGTTCACGCGGTTTAACCATGTCTTTCAATTCTATTTCTATTAATTTTGGTCCCTGGTAACTGGTCTCAGATTAAACTTTTAAAATACTGATGAATCTCAGGTTTTGTAAACAAATGTCAACCATTGCTTAAATAATCATAATTCCTTTATGACTCCCCCCCCCTCCATTTACTACCTTGTAAGCCTCCTGCCAGAGCTCCATGTTGATGGCAACGTCGAGCTGAGCTAGTCTGGTATCGAGGTTCATCTGCTGGGTGTCAGAGTTGTTCAAGTTTATTGAGTTTGGAGTTGGGTTCAGCTGAAATAAAATAATAATTACTATCTGACACTTGAAAAATGTTTTAGTTCGACTCTCCCACGGATCAGGATCCAAGGGCAAAATACCAACCAAAAACAAAAAAAAAGTATTTGCTCTGAAAACTCAAACCTTAACTGTTGAAAAAAGAGATACCGTCAAATATGTCCTTAGCTCAAGTTGATTCATCAAATTGTTGCATAAAAATCAGTGAAAAAAGCAAGAAAATAATTCGAAAATTTTCTCCTATTAAAAAAATAGAAATGACCTGGATCCTGATCAAATTTTTTCCAATGCGGATCAGCATCAAAATTAAATGGATCCTATGCATTGCGAAGAAATAAGACCATTTGTTAAAGGGAAACACTAGAGGGGGGGGGGGTTATCACCTGTTTGATGATAAGCTCAAGATGATTTCTAAGTTTATCACAGAGTTTCCTAAACTCGGTTTTCCTCTGGTATTTGAGGCAGAACTTGAAGGCCTGCTGGGCAATATTGTGGTATAATCTCTCTACTCGGGAGTTCGTCCTAAGTTTATAAAATAAATTAATTTAAAAACAAGAATTCGAACAATGGTATACAATTTTTACACACACACACACCCCCCCCCTCCCTCCCCAGGGTGGGGAACTAGTATTCGGAAATATCAACTTTCTCTTATTTACCTAAAATTCAAAAATCCTTGATTCAGCGATGAAAACCTCAAAAGTTATTTTTTACAAAAATAGGTCGGAATAAGGGACTTCTGGAAAAGCTGAAGATATTTCTCGAGTTAAATCGTAATTTAATAAATGGTTGCCACGGCCAAATACCAACAAATCTTTTGTTACACTTTGAAAATGAATCTTTATTCAAATCCAAATCCCATTCCCCTCATCTTCACAGTCCCCTAATCTTCCAATTCCCCTCCTCTTCCCAGTCCCATCCTCTTCCCAGTCCCATCCTCTTCCCAGTCACATCCTCTTCCCAGTCCCATCCTCTTCCCAGTCCCATCCTCTTCCCAGTCCCATCCTCTTCCCAGTACCATCCTCTTCCCAGTACCATCCTCTTCCCGGTCCCCCTCCTTCTCACCCTCTCCCTCCCAATTCCTACTCACAGAGAGATATAAATATTTCTCACGAAACAGATTTAATTTAAGTAGCTGAACTTCGTTAACGTCGTTGAACCACTTTTTAGAGCCGGTTTAAGTTAAATTTCAGTAGATCAACCTTGTCTAGGTAGTTAAACTAGATCTCGTTATTCATTAACAGTCCCTGTCTGCTAAGTTGTACCTGAGCAGCTCTAAACACTGGCAGTAGGATTCCCACAGAAATTTGACCCAGGGCATCAAAATAGTCCGGTCAGATCTAGAGCAAGAAATATTAGTCCGGTCAGATCTAGAACAAGAAATATTAGTCTAGAACAAGAAATATTAGTCCGGTCAGATCTAGAGAAAGAAATATTAGTCCGGTCATATCTAGAACAAGAAATATTAGTCCGGTCAGATCTAGAACAAGAAATATTAGTCCGGTCAGATCTAGAACAAGAAATATTAGTCCGGTCAGATCTAGAGCAAGAAATACTAGTCCGGTCTGATCTTGAGCAAGAAATATTAGTCCGGTCAGATCTAGAACAAGAAATATTAGTCCGGTCAGATCTAGAGCAAGAAATATTAGTCCGGTCAGATCTAGAACAAGAAATATTAGTCTGGTCAGATCTAGAGAAAGAAATATTAGTCCGGTCATATCTAGAACAAGAAATATTAGTCCGGTCAGATCTAGAACAAGAAATATTAGTCCGGTCAGATCTAGAACAAGAAATATTAGTCCGGTCAGATCTAGAACAAGAAATATTAGTCCGGTCAAACCTAGAACAAGAAATATTAGTCCGGTCAGACCTAGAACAAGAAATATTAGTCCGGTCAGATCTAGAACAAGAAATATTAGTCCGGTTAGATCTAGAACAAGAAATATTAGTCCGGTCAAACCTAGAACAAGAAATATTAGTCCGGTCAGACCTAGAACAAGAAATTTTAGTCCGGTCAGACCTGGAACAAGAAATAGTAGACCGGTCAGATCTAGAACAAGAAATAGTAGTCCGGGCCGAACAAAAACATATGGGGCAATGATTTTATAAGAAAAAAGAAACATTTAGAAAAACGTTTTTTACTTTCAATAATTTGATTAAATTAAATTGATTCCAACCTGTCCTGGGCTCCTTCTCCTGATACAGCAGAGAGCATGATCATCTCCGGTGTAGCGAGAATATCCAGGTCATCAACCTCAACCTTATCCACGCTCTCCTGCCGGGCAGAGTCCGTCCTTTTCTCGGCCAAACTCAGGTAACCCTGGACATAAAATATACTCATAAGGTGGTTCTTCCAGGAAAAAGATAGAGGGGGGGGGGGGCAATAAACAAAGAAATATACCATTAAACAACAGCTGTAAATTGAATCCTCGATATAATCAGGCCAAATGAAATTATCTTTATAAACTTTAATTGAGAAAATGTTTAGTCCAAATGAAAAACTAAATTCCTGACAACTTAAAATTAAATTTCGTTACAGTCCAGAAAAGAAATTGTTCAAGAAGCTTAATAAATTTATGAAAACTATATTAAAAAATTGGAATAACTATAATCGCTGAATTGTTGGCCGAAATGCATTAGAAGGTTATTAATATGTGTCTTCAAAGTAGCTCAGAATCAGTTTTTAGTAAAAACCCGATCACGTTGGAGAGAATAATAGTCAAATTTTAGTTACTTTATCTTTGCAATTTGCCTTGTCTATTTCAAAGTCAAAAGTAGGGAAAACATTTTTGAAGTAAGAGAGCGTTATAAATTTATTCAATTTTTTAAAAATGTGCTAATTGCTCATAATGAAAAAATTACCTGAACGACAGCGGCGAGTGAGGCAACGTTAACACTCTGACACATGTTCCTGTACTGGAACAAACCCTCCTTGGCGATATGGGACTTCTTGAGGTCAACACAGAGCTCCAGGTACTTGTACATGATCTCCTCGATAAGCTTCTCTGAGTAGTTGTGATTTCTCTTCTTTGATTTGATAACATCGTAGAGAGTATCAAGTGCCTTGTTCGGCTTGCCTAGAAGAGTAGAATTAATACGAGAGCTGATGGAAGAAAACAAATTTTCAAGCAAATCTTTAAGGATTGATTTTTACTGCGTCAATTTAACTTAAATATTGTCAACAATTAAATTCAATTAAATTTCAAGTGGCCCATTATTTAAAGAGATATAAAAGCTCTTTTCAAAATGGTTCCCTAAAAACCTACGTCTGATCAAAAAGGTCGACGATATAGTCGTCTTTCTGGCTTGAAATATTGAACTTCAAGATAGAAACGTTACTTGAAATCTTAGGTTTTATCTGTCAGGGTTTTTCTTAACCCCCCCCCCCCCTCCCCTCGTTATAGCCCCTGACACTGAAGTACTTTAGACAAGCGCAATTTTAATCATTAAGGAAAAAGTTATCTAATTTGAGTGGGGGAAGCGGGGACGGGGTGTTTATGATGATCTATTACTGCACAATACCAGACAAAAAAAAACTAGCTTAAAGTGTGAACTTACCAACTTTCATAAACTCTTCAGCTTTGCTGATTGCGTTCTCGGGTCGGGTAAAAAAGCGCGAACCCATTTTGGGACGACAAATATCACTTCCAAGATTATCTGAAAACATGAGGTAATTAATATTTGGCTTATTAACACGTAATTGAGTATTTTACAATTTCCTCAGTATGTCAACGATTTTAGGAGTAAGTAGTTGATCTCGGCCTTCTCCAGGAGTACCAACTCAGGAGCGGCTGTGGTAATGTGGCTCGCCTCTTCCAAGCTCCTCCTATGCAAGCAACAAATCTAGCGGTCAACCCAGAACTCCGCCATATTATAAATAATCTCCTTTTTTCAAATAACATAGTTGTAACGTGTGTGCAGTAACTTCTCGCTAATCCACATCATCCTCAATTTTCATATTCTCCGCTTGAAAAATAAACATTTGACCGTCCTTGGTCTGTCCTCACAACCAGAACATTGCAATTGGTGACCGACACCTGCATTATCCCAAAATGAACTCTTGATCAAGAACATCCTCAAAATAAAAACACTTGATAAATAAATCTAGGATCATTTAAGTAGGACATATGATTGATTTTTAGTTCAAATTTAAACCAAATTTAAATCTATAGCAAATTGATTACCTTCTATATTCCTTTCTCCCCCTGCTGCCATCTGTAGGAAATACGCATTTGTGTTATATAAACATACAGTACGCGTATTGCATCCTGTATAGTTCAAGTGTTGCTATCTGGAGCTGCTTGACAAATTAAATTAAATTTCTAGGTAACACAAACATACAGTACGCGTTTTGTTCATGTTATGATCAGATCAGTTGTACTTTTTCCTAGATTGATGTACTTTTATAGTCATAATTTTAATTTAAATTGCGTTAATTTACGTATGCCATTCAGTACAACTTGCACATTTTAACTTTGTCTAGTCAAATTCCTACCTCAGTTTTATTTGCATTGATTAACTTGTTTCATTATGTACTCATTATGATACTATAGTACGCATTTGGTGTTATCACGCATAAACAAATGATAAATTATCAACAATCCAGAGGATAAAATGCCATGCGCACGACAGAGATGGTGCTGATTGCACTTTTTCTCAAGACCTCAAAAATTTCTACCTGGCNGGGTCCAAAAATCGTATACTAGGAATATACCTAAAAACTGCGTGAACCCATTTATACACAAAAATATCACATCCAACATTATTTAACAAACATACTCTGAACTTTAATTCGTCAATTTTTGCGAATTCTTTCACTAGTCCACGATTGCGGTATGGCGGCATCTGTGGACAGCATGGAAGTGACGTCGAGGGGGTGGTAAATCCTATAATTTTGTAGAATAGATTTTAAAATTTCTTTTAAATCTTTTGAATAAATTGCAACAAAAAATTCAACTATATTTAATTGTAAAATTTTAAATTATCAAATTTTCAAACTATATTTTCCCCTCCCCCCTTTCCCGTCTCTAATGCCGCAACTTTTTTACATAAAAATAAGACAGCTATTATAGCGAATTAACCACTAATTTGTAAGTTTTATAATATCAAACACAATGAAGCAGTGAATAACATTAGAAGAAAATAAACTGTTTACTCTATAATTTCACCTGTGGTATATTAAATAAGTAATATTTAAAGTTCAATAAGTTATAACAGAATACACAGAAAAACGAAGACGATAATGTGTTATCAATAGTGCTACATCGACTGGACTAGTGGCTAATTGAACGAACGTTTAACAGCTAGTTGATCTCGGCCTTCTCCAGGAGTACCAACTCAGGAGCGGCTGTGGTAATGTGGGGGAACTAGTATTCGGAAATATCAACTTTCTCTTATTTACCTAAAATTCAAAAATCCTTGATTCAGCGATGAAAACCTCAAAAGTTATTTTTTACAAAAATAGGTCGGAATAAGGGACTTCTGGAAAAGCTGAAGATATTTCTCGAGTTAAATCGTAATTTAATAAATGGTTGCCATATTAAAGAGTTTCTA